GCTGGAAGGACCTTCAGCATCGTCTGGGTCCAACCCCCCTGCATGGGCAGGGACCCCTCCCACCAGCACAGGCTGCTCCAAGCCCCATCCAGCCTGGCATTGAACTGCAGGGGGAATCCACGGCCTCCCTGGGCAGCCTGTGTGCCCCCCCACCAGCCCCGTGCCAGGCACCCCCCAAAAAGCTGCGCAGAGCTGGCTGTCTCTTCTGAAAGCTTCTCACCTCCACTTCTTAATTTGTGCTTGTTGGTTTTTTGTGTGCGTGTCTTTTTGGTGACAGGTTACAGATGCACCGTCCCAGGAAGGTCACCTCTCGGACCAGGAACCAGAATCATCTAAGGCAGAAAATGACAGTGTCTTTCTCATCAGGGCACAAGGATTCCCCTTCTCGTGCACAGAAGAAGATGTGCTTACCTTTTTTGATAGTATGGAAGTTAATTTTCTCTGTGTAGCTCTTCAGTGTGGTGTGGTTTTGAACCCAGTAGTTACTGATTAGTAAGTTTACTAACAGCCCTGTTACGTAGCTGGGGAAGCTATTGGATATCAAATCAGTCTCTTACTTGTGATAAATGTTGTGAGTTAAGGTTAGAAACAGGAGTTTCCTGTCCTTCGTTTCAAGATAGCATTTTGCACTACTGAGAGGGGGTAGCTCTATGGAGGAAGTTCCCTTTTCCCCTACAACTGCAAGACCTCAATGTTTGATGCATGCCATGTTTCTGTATCCCATGTTCCTTGCTTCCTAGGCTGCAGGATTCGGAACGGGGAGAACGGCATACACTTCCTGCTCAACAGGGATGGCAGGCGCAGGGGGGACGCCTTGATCGAGCTGGAGTCCAAAGCTGATGTCCAGAGAGCCTTGGAGAAGCACCTGAGGTACATGGGCCCACGCTACGTGAAAGGTGGGTTTGCGAAGACACATATTACATGGGAAGGATGAAGCTTATGGTACAAAGAGCAGCTGCTGGGGAGAAGTGCAGGGGGTGGGACAGAGCAGCACATCAGCCAAAGCTTCCCAGGCTGGGCAGGAAGAGCAGAGTGAGGGGGCCCCACTGCAGGATAGAGTGTGGGTTGGGGGTAGAAATGAAGTTTTGTAGGGTGGAGAAGCTGCCTTTAGGGAAGCCTGTGGAGTGTCACCTTCTGAGTACCTGGAGGGAAGACATGTTTTGTGCCTGTCTTCCTTGCAGTTTTTGAAGTACATGATAGTGATGTAGAGGGCTTGCTGCAAAGCCTGCGGGATGAGTCACAAGCCATTAATGATGGAGTGGTGCTACTCAGAGGCCTTCCCTTCAGCTCCACTGAGGAGGATATTGCAGATTTCTTTGCAGGTAAGTCAGCCTCATTTTGTGCTCTTTGCTTACCAGGCATCTGCTTCTGCCAGTTGAAGCTTAGCTAGGCTGTTGTTGCTCAAAGTGGGCAAAGCAAAAGCACATACAGCCTCTGAACACCTTCAACAGGATAAGGAGCTGCTGTTCCTCTGCAGCTGGAAGTAACTACAGCTTTCTGAGCAAGCTTTTGGCTGCAGGGCTTTCTTGCACCTGTGACTTTCTGCAAGTCTAACCTAGGATCAGGACTTGCAGCACCCTGTTCTGGGCATGGGGGAAGGAAAGAGAGGAGGAACCTCAAGCCTATTATTTACAGTTGGATTGCTACCAGTGCATAATTTGGCGAAGTTGAGGAGGGGAAATGCCTGTATGATAGTTCAAGTTCAAGTGAAGGCAGCATGGATATGCACGGATGTATAACCATAATCTGTGATGGGTGCCACTTAAAATGCCAATAGCAATACATTTTTTGTTTTTTCTGGCTTGTTAGTGCTTGTGAAAAGTTAACTGCAGCAGTTCTCAACTGAGAAAGTATTGCATAGGGTGTGTGTGCACACTCATGTCCCACACTTGGTGCTGGAGTACTCCAGGTGGTTGCTGCATTTGTTAGGAAATAAACCTTTAAGGCTTATAATGACCACCAGCATGCTAGAAGCAAACAGCACTGATAGCAACATTTTCAGCCCACAACCAGTACCTGAATATGTTTGAGGGCATCTAGCAGAGTTACAGTGAGATGACATGGGCAGCATTTCAGAACAAGTATTTCCATTTCTTTAGGAGCTTGGGGAAAGCCTTGGAGAAGGCAGCAAGTACCATGAGGTACAATAAAAAGGCATAAGCATTCCTGAAAAAACAAGTGTAGGAGCTCAACCTAGTGAGGAGCATTCTGTATCATGTGAGATACAGCTGCTCACTGGGTCATGGGCTCCCCACAAATCACAGAATGCCAGGTTGGAAGGGACCTCAAGGATCATCTGGTCCAACCTTTCCAACTACTAATATAGTTTATATTAGATGGCTCTGCACCCTAAGATAAAATACAGCACAGCAATCAAAACTCACTGAATTTCACTTATTTTTTGAAGAGATGGGGAAAAATTGCCATAATAAAGTAATATTTCAAGAAGGTTGCCATAATAATAAGGGAAAGTTCCAAGAACGTGTGTTCTGGTCTTCCTTGTTGCCTAGAACTTGGATTCACTTGTTGTTTTCAGTCATTTGAAGCCTCAAGTTGACTAATTATTGGCAATTAAGCCTTGTTTGAAACTAACTTGAACAAATCCAGCTAATTGGAGTTAAAAGCTTTTTTAAAGGTAAAAAGGTATGTAGGCAAGTATGAGCAGATGTTTCAGAACTATTGAACTGCTTGATTAGCTTGTGAAAAAACAGAAAATTAAGGGAAGAAATGTCTCTCTGAGCTATATGGCACAAGCTCTTGACCATGTAAATGCCTTTTTCTCCTCACCCTTCCATAGGTTTGAAAATAACTGACATTGTTTTCGTTTACCGGGGAGAAAGGAAAACAGGAGAAGCTTTCGTGCAGTTTTCAGCTCCTGAAATGGCAGCTAAAGCCCTGTTACGACACAGGGAATATATGGGAAGTAGGTAGGTGCTTCAGGGGGGTCCACGAGGGTAGAAGAGCATGGTCTGAAGCTTTCTGTGCCTCTTAGAGCTTGTATCTTACCAGGGGACAACAGCTGGTCTTAGTCCGTCCCATGCTCAAATTATTATTAAGGAAGCTTCTGCCTTTATTACCCTTAAAGCCTAGAACTTGGATTTTAGATTAAAATATCCACAGAAATCACAGGTAAATCTTTTTCATACTGGTGACAGACTTAGTTGGTGGCTTAAAATATTTTCTTTTAATCAAACCTTTTTTTTTTTTGGTCCTCTGGCAGGGGGCTTGAGCTTTGATCTTTGAAGGTCCCTTCCAACCTCTAGTATTCTGTGATACCATCTGAAATACTCAGTGTAACCCAAGTGTTACCTCCTCTGGTGATGTTTTCTTTAGAACCTTAAAAAAAACTGGAAAAGATGAAGCCTTTTCAGGCTTCTGTGCACTGCAGAGGCACCTGCAGTGCTCCTAGCTTGACAGAATTTGGGTCTCTCTGATCAAGTCTCAGTTCTTTTTAAGCATTCCTGAAGGCAGTCTCATACCAACAGAAATGGAGTGATAGGATTCAGAGCAGGGAATGCTGGATAGACAATACCAGCCCAGTCACAAATACCTAAAGATCCTTCCATTCATAAAAGACATTTGCCCCACACCAAATTTCCACCAGATTCCCTGGTGCTTCCACCATTTTTGGCAGCCATTCAGCCCAGTCCCAGGCACAGCACTTCCAGTTGGAGAGGACACTGTACAAAGTGCAGCTTAGCACTCACTTCTGGCACAAATTCATTCCCCACCTTGTCTGCTGGCTGAGCCCACACCATCATTTGTCTCTTTGGTGACCACAGCCACTTGGGCTGTTCTCCTTCCTCAGGAATCCATGGTTTCTTCCAGAGCACTGAGCCCTGTGCCACACATTTCTCCCACCAGAGCCTCTCTTCCTGTAGACGAGAGCCTACAGAAGCTCTGTAGCACTGAGAAGCTTGTATCACTTTTTTCCAGAATCCTGAATTGTCCTCAGGGTCAGGCAAAAAAAACCCAAACCCTAAGATTTTTTTTTAACCTGCTGAGGTTTCTGACTTGACAACCCACTAAGCTGCTTTCTGAAAGCCAGGAAGCTACAGTCCTTTCCACATCTTTCTACTTCTCCTACAGAGCATCTTCCTTACTTTTATTTCCTGTTCTAGTCTGCATTTCCTGTGTTTGTCCCCCCACCCATACTAAAGAAAAACAGTTTCTCTCTAGGTGTGCCAAATAACTGAATTAGCTCCTCTACCCTGCAACAGAGATTGTCTTTTATTCTCAATCTGCTGTGAATTTTTCCTTCATCACAGTCAAGCAAGAGCTGATCTGACTCACCTGCCCCAGCCCATTAACCCTCTGTTTCTGCCTGATGAGCCAAGAAACTGTGCAGTTTCCAAAACTATCAACTTGTTTTCCTGCATTCTTCAACTTTATCCAGAAATGGCCTTCAGCTGTGCACAGCACATGGGGCTGAGCTGTTAGCCCCCCTCGCACATGGTGGTGTTTCCCAGGTTGTAGAAGGGGAGGAAAGGTTATTCCTTCAGGAATCACCTGGTGTAACACTGCCCATTGAATTTCATAGAATCATAGAATGGTTTGGGTTGGAAAGGACCTTCAAGATCATCTAGTTCCAACCCCCCTGCATGGGCAGGGACACCTGCTAGATCAGATTACTCAAGGCCCCATCCAACCTGGTCTTGAAGACCTCCAGGGATGGGGCATCCACAACCTCCCTGGGCAATCTGTGCCAGCATCTCACCACCCTTACAGGACCCCCCCCTCTCCTAACGTCCAACCTGAATCTCCCCTCTGTAAGTTTCAGACCACTGCCCCTTGTCCTCTCACTACACGTTCATGTAAAAAAATACGGGTGAGGCCCTGATGGTGCTGCTGTCAGTTCTCTGAAAGGTTAACACTGACAGCTCCAAGTTGAGGGGTTCTGGGGTGTGTAGGTATAAATACAAAGTATGATAATGTTGTGCTTTGGCTAAACCTGCATATAAGGGGTTGGTTGGGGTTTTTTTTGTCTTTCTGCAGGGTCTAGAGTTAATGTTGCATTACTTATTGGAGTACTGTACCCACAACTTTTAACACACACACACACACACACCCCCCCCTTGCATTTTATCCCATGAATTTCAGACCAATATGTAAAAAAAATCTGATTTCATGTGACCCTGTGCAACTTCTGTGCCTGCTTGTTTCACTGATGTGTTGTGGAGTGGTTTTTGAATTTGTGGTTGGTAGGGGCAATGAGGGGAAAACAGCTTCACGTTCAGGGCTGCTCATAAGGGTAGAAAACATTATTCAGAGCAAGTACATCTCTGTTTCTGTGACAAAACAGAATTTTGGCTTGTAAGCCATTAGCTTGAGGTGAGGTTAGAAGCAGTAGTGCTTCTGCAGGAACTGAGGGTAGGGCTGAAGCCTTTGTCCAGGCCAAACTGGTAAACAGCCTGTCTCACCATACGGGGGTCCATGCAGGAGGGTGGCTGTCACTGCAGCCACTTCCCTACCGTGTCTCTGCCACTTCCAGGAATTAATCCTCCCAACTGGGCTCTCCCCCAGTTCAGGAGCAGTGCTGGGGCGGGAGAACCCCCTGGAAGGCACTGCCTGAAAACCTTGAGTTTCTGCCAGTTGTCCCATATCACCTTTTCCTTTCCAGATACATAGAGGTGTATGTAAGTAGAAAGCATCAAATGCAAAGGCACATGCCTTACGACAGGCAGATGGTGGGATACCCCAGAGTGAGAAGAGAACTGGAACCTGCTCCTGAAGAAAGGAGATTGGGCACCATGCCAGGCTCTGATTCTGAACAGGAAAACCGTGAGTCCCTCCCCATCTTTTTGTAATCTTGATTGGTTGCTGGGAGCTTGACTCTGCATGTCTACAGCTTTCCCATGAAGGAGGTGATAATTGCAGCCATTAATGGTGGTGCTGTTTTTCTTCTTTCCATAGAATTGTCCAGGGAAGGAACAGAAAGCTCTGAGTCTGTTTTAGAGTCTGGGAACATCTCATCATCACTGCACTTTGTCCACATGAGGGGTTTTCCCACCCAGGCTAGTGCCCTAGACATAATAAATGTGAGTAACAGTAAAGCCAGAATGAAATAAGAATGGATTAAAGCTTGCAGGGCTGTGTTAATAGCTGTCACTTAGATTTGAGCAGCCATCTGCAACGTTAGCTAGTTTTCAGAGTAGCTGGTGGTACACAAATTAATTTAACAGTCTTTTCAGTATCAATTTTACTTAATTTTAATAGTATACAGCATCAGAGAGTGAATGTGCCTGCACTTCCTGACTTTGGTGTGTACAGAACACCTGTGCTATGTGAGGATTGTTGTTCATCAAGAATTACTCTGCCAGGAGCTTACAGAGGGTGGGAGGCTGCCCTCCATGGGCCAGGTGACTTGGGGGAGCCTTTTGCTACTCAAGAGCTCGGATTCCCCCAGAGCTGGGCAGGCTTTCTGACTAAAAATACCACTTCTCAGTACTAGAGTGTCTTGCTGTTGTGTTGTTTCTGTCTCCCCCAACTCTTCCTCCTTTTCAGTTTTTTGCTCCACTGAAGCCCATGAGGGTCATGCTGGAATACAACTCCCATGGAGAAGCCACAGGAGGAGCAGATGTGCACTTCAGTAGCCAAGAGGACGCGGTCGCTGCCATGGCTAAAGAGGGGTCCCAGCTGCGTAAGTCAAGAGGAGGGGGGTTGTACAGCCCCAAAACTCAGAGCCTCGGGTAGCTGGGCACAGCTTGTCAAGCTGCAATTAACACTCTGCAAAAGGACTGTCTTAGATGTTGAGTTCCAGATTACCCTGTAATGTCACACTGGCTTTGTGCAAAAAAAACAAGTAACACATACAAGTCACTGACCACAGGCTGCCTCTCCAATTGCTCCCCAGAGTGCAGTGCCATAGAATTATTCCTGAATGAACATCCAAAGGCAAAATAAGACTGCTGAGTGACAGTGGCACAGGCTCAGATTTGGTAAGTGCATCCTTCTCACTTGGTCCTATTCCATTTTTAGCACCATAGAACTCAAGGATGTTCTGTTTCCGAGGCTTGGGCTTTCAGCTTGCTTAAAGGCTAAAATTTAGAGTGGCTGAAGGGGATCACCACAGCCCAGTTGAGGACAAGCAGCAAACCTCGACCCTCTGGCCTGCAAGTCCAGGTTCCACAGGATCAAAGTCCTGTGGCAGCAGCTCCATTCTGCTGGAGCTGGCAGGGGTTGCTGGGCTGCCCAGACAGGGCAGAACTGCAGCAGCCCCTGCACTGTACCAGCCTGCAGCAGAGCTGCTGCTTTTCTCCTCCCTAGAGCGCTCTGCTGGGCGGGGGGGGATTGATGGAAGGTGCTGATGGGCCTGGCCATGGAAGAGGAAACGTGGCTGAATATGATCCGGGGCATGAATTGACAGTGACTGCTCTTCTGGCTGGGAGAGGAATAATGTTTACCATTGACTACTGCACTTAGCTGGGCCACTGGTCTGCTTTTGAGTGGATGAAGTAAAGTTCATGGCTCTGCGTGTGCACCTCTGTGTGTGTATGTCCCCATGTATGTCCATGTGTCTCCATGCACGTCTCTGTGTACATGTATCTCTGTAAGTGCATCACAGTGTGCGCATCTCCATGTGTGCATCTGTGTGTCCATGTGCCTGTGTGTCTCTGTGTGTGGTCCGCATGTGTGCATGTGAATCTCCGTACATGTGTGTACGGCTCCATCTGCACTTGTCTCTCAGCATCTAAGTGTGCATCTCCCCATGTGTCTCCCTCCAGTTGCATCTCCCCACGTGTGAATCTGTCTCCATGCATGTGTCTATGTGCCTGTCTCTCCGTGTGTGCGTCTCTCCCCATGCATCTGTGCATCTCTCCACGTGTCTCTCTCCTCCTGTGTGTGCATGTCTCCATGTGTGCCTCTATGTGCTCATGCCTGTGTCTGCATGTCTCCATGTGCATCTCTATGCACACACCTGCATATGGAGGTGTGTATATCTCCATGTGTGTTTCCATGTTGCATCTCTGTGTACACACCTCCATATGCAGGTGTGTATATCTCCATGTGTGTTTCCATGTGTCTCCCCATATGTCTTTCTGTGTCTGTGTGTCTCTCTGCATGTCCAGTGTGGGCATGTGTCTCCATGTGCATGTGCACCTTCATGTGCACATGCATCTCTCTGTATCTCCTTGTGTGCGTCCATCTGTGTGCTTCTGTGCGTCCATCTGTGCCTGCGCTAGCAGATCTCCATGTGTCCATGTACCTGTGCATGTCTCCGTGTGTGTGCATGTGCATCTCTCCATATGTGTCCATGTGCCTGTGTCTCTCTCTCTCTGTGTGCCCATGAATTTCTCCCTGTGTGTCCATGTGCCTGTGCATGTGCTTGCCTGTGTGTTCGTGAGCCTGTGCATCTCTGTGTGTGTGTGTCTCCGTGTGCCTGTGTCTGCCCATGGCTCCAGGCAGGTTGGTGTGTCTCCACGTTCACATCTGTGTCCACATGTGTATGCGTGCACCCCTAAATGTTGTACCTCTCCCCTGTTGTGTGCATCACCTCCCCTGTGTAAGTGGCATTTTTCAGGATTGCCAAATCCTATCATTCAGCTGCAGCAAGGTCAGGATTTCTCATCTTCCTCTTCCTTTCTTTTCTAAGCTGAAGTGAACACATTCCGTGGGTGAAGCTGGAGTGAGAGCAGCGCTGCTCTGTGACAAGGAGACACTGTATAAACCCCAGTTTAGCGTGGTGTAACAGAATCTAATAAATGGTGTTGCTCTACTTTGGAAAGACTCTTCTATTCCAGAAGCAGCTCTACTAGGGAGTGGCAAGTGCTGCAGGATGGAGCAGCTCTTGTCTCCAGCTGCATGACAGTGTCTCGATAAACCCCCAGTGCTGGCAGTTAACAACAGCAGAGGGATTTAAGGTCCTCGCACCCGAGGCAACGGGCACTGTATGCTACGGCCAAGCCCCTTCACCCACCCTGCTCTCCATCTACCACCCCTTCCTGGCTTTCACACAGCTGTAACACACAGACACAGGAAAGAGCACTCACGATGTGGGATACACATGAACATGGGGTTTCTTTTATTGCAGGAAACAATCACCATCAGAAAACCACCCTCTGCTCCTCCCCCCAGTCCAATCATCCAGGTGTCAGCCCACACATCAGCATTCCAAGTAGTACCTGAGCAAACGTGCCTGCAACACCTGCAGCATCACCAAGTGCAACAACCACAATTTACAGGCGGAGAGTCACTAGAGCCTGAGACAGCAGGAGAGGGGCAAGGGCTGATGCAGCTAGCAGTGAGCACAGTCCTGCCCTGACCTTTCCAAATGCCAGCTTCCAGAGCTGGATTCCAAGAGTTTTCAGCCACCTTCCTGCTCCATCACAGAGATCTCATGTCACTTCAAAGGACCAGTTCAGGAGCTGTCCTCTGTCACGTGAAGAGGCACAGCCTTCACTTGGAGCAAGCCTGCTCCTGCCAGGACAGTGGGAAGCTAGGGACGGGTCACAAAGAAGCTGTCACTTACAAGCTGCAAAATGCTGGATATCCCAGCATTAACTATTTACAGTAAGTGCCCAAGTTCCAGTTTAATCCTCCAAGATGGAAATTGCTTGGGGGATGAGTCACGCTAGGTTTGGATGCAGGAAGTTGAATCCTGGTCAATGTGTACACACAACTGCTCGCCCTGCATTCAGTATCATCTACCTCCAGTGCCTCTGCCCCGCAGAACAATGCCCACACTGGAGTTCTGGGCCTTTTGCATTTCAACACTATTCACAACTAACTACTGATCTACTTCAAGAGACAGCAGCAAGGACATTTACCTGATAACCACCATGAAGATTGGGAAAAGAGCAGACAAAGAAAAACTCTTGAAAGTTCCCCCCCAGGAAGTGTGGTGGCTCTGAAGGTCGCTAAGAGGTGGAGAACTCGGGTGGTTAGAGGCACTCAGGTGCCTAGAGGGAACAACAAGAGTAATTCCCGGCACAAACTAGCACCAACCATCTAAGTAACCTCAGCTCTGCCACACTTCTTAATGCCCTTCCAGCCAGTCTGATGGAAAAGAAAATCCCCTCCAAGGAATTAAATCACTAACCCCTAGTAAGATTTATACAAAACCAAATGGATTTGTCACATACAAATACACAAGTTTTCTGTGGGCTACAAAACATTCTGTGGTCTTAAAGACTGAAGTAAGCTTCCAGTATAAACCAGACCAAACAACTATGACACACTACGTGCTTCATGAAGAAGCCACCCCTGCTTTCTGGAGGTAACAGCAACAAAGAATGATGTGAACTAGGAAACAAACCTCTATAAACTGTTTCAAATTAGCATTCCTAGTAGGTGAAAAGCATTCCTGTTTCTTCTCACCTTCATTTTGCTCTAAATAAACAAAGAAATTAAATGCCAGGTTTATTACAACAATGTTTCATGTGCACAAGGGAGGGAGGTGGATCAAAGTGGCCCTAAACCCTCTGTGTCATGATGAGGATTTAGTCAATACTGGGGAAACCAATTTCTCCAGCTGTCACACCAAGACAGGTGGTACAGTTACACCCTTAGCTTTGATCACCATTTTGTAGTCACCAAGTCACAGTGAGGGGCTCTGAGAGGAAGGTCAGAGATGCCTTAAGGCACTTCCATGCCAGATCAGTGCAGGGTGTCAGTTCTAACATAGTGCACACCTCAAAACCACCTACACCCCCAGCCCCTAAAAATACAGGAAAGCTTTCACAGCTTACATATAAATGTACTCATTTGCATAGCCAGCCCATGGCCAGAGGGCTGAGCTCAAGAAATAAAGCTAGGAGGTGTTTATTGGCCTCTTCCCTGGCCCTCTTACACCTGGCACTGGAGCAGCACGGTTGAGCCAGGTTGTCAAAGGCAACCAGGAAAGGGGCATTTGAAGTGCAGCCAGAGAAGAAGATGAAGAAGGCTCTGCTGTGAGTGAGCCTCTGCTGGGTAGCAGCACCTGTCCCCACCACACGGCCTAGGATGAGGCTGCTCCTGCCTTGCACACACACACACACACTCACACACACCTGTTTTGGAGAGGGTCCTGCTCTCTCTTTACCCCCAGGCTGCTGGGCACACCTTGGGGATAACAATGTGACATTGTCAAATCATTCTCCCCAGCTCAGGGCTAAGAACAGGCAGATTTTGTACAGGGAAGGCTCTGACTTGTTTTAGTCTCTAGAGACTGTAAAACACCATGAAGCTGCTTCCCCCTCTGTGACCTCCAAAGAAAACAGGCAAGTGTCTTCTCTTCACATTCCCCCCAGCAACTCCAGAAACCATCATCAGCTACAAGCATTTTTGGTCACCTCCCTCTTCCAGCCATCCCCTACAAGGGGCTGAAGGAATACTGCTGGATGAGCTGCTTGTGGCAGGGATTGCAGACACGCTCAGGGTTAATACTGGATGGGAGAGGTAGCTCATTCGCTGAACAGGCTTCACAGAAGGTGCCACCACAGTTCTTGCAGATGTTCTGAAATGCAGGAAGAGGACAGAAACATCGTAAGTAGATTCTTAAGACACAAGTGACACAAAGACTTCTCTCATTATCACTCCATCAGCCCAAATCCTCCACTGGGCTAGGGAAGGATGCTCCAAAACTCCACTCTTGTCCCCTCTGAAGACCTGGAGTTTGCTCCTGTGCTCAGGACCAGTTTACAGCAAAGCTTCTCAGGTCAG